GCAGAAGAAACCCATTTTATATTCATCTTGTGCAAGACGATTGCACAAACTGATTATAAACAATGATATAATATAATTGCCAAAATGATTCACAGGAACACCTGTAAAAATTACCATGTACCATTAATGAAAAATAGGTGGGAACAAGTTGAAAAAGTAGTGGAAAATCAGGAGGTTAAAATATTGTGGAATTTCCTAATACAGACTAATAAAGCCTGGGCTCATAACACACCAAACATAAATGTGGTTGAAAAGAGGAAAGTATGGATAATTGGTAACAATACCAAGGGGTAATTGAACACAAAGAATTGAAGAACATCACAAAGTATCAAGATCTGAAAAATCAATATTGAAAGATTATGGCATAAACCAGCTGTTTATGATATTGATATTTCCATCCGTCAACTACAAAAGGGCACTGCTTGGATTTGAACACATACTATGTGGATACATTACAACATCTTTGGTTCTTGGGAAGAACTCAATGCATATGAGCACCAACACCACCTAAAGAACTGGCAGCTGTGACTTCACATTGTTGTGGAGAGATAATAATTAACTCACATTTCACTTGATTACCAACAACTCTGGGTAGTTCAAAAGTGGAAATACTAAAAATACAATACGACACAAAAATAAAAGATGGCAAAAATGTCAGAAGCCAGTAGGAACAAAAATGAAATAAACTCACACAATCCAAGGGTTTATGAAGTTAAATCGTAGGTTAAACACAAAATGTTCAATTAGGCTCAAACCAGATTTTATTTTGGCTTCAAAATACAGTGCTATGTAATGCTATGGATTAAAGTTGCTTAAAATCCTGGTTTATTTACAAAGCATGAAACATAATTTTATTGTTTTGTCAAAAAAGAAAACTATAGCTTTTGGCATGTTTGAAGAAAGAATAAAAATAATTGGTGGGAGACCATCAATCTATGTAGTGCTACAATGTACAATTATATAAGAAGATAATGTGGTAAGATATTATCTGAACAGTGTTAGAAAAGCTAATCAACCAATACTAATATAGCAAACAAAATGAGATTTGTACACTTAGCTGCAATACCTATGCATACAGTGTTTAATCATATATGGAAACCTCTAGCAGTAGTATCAGCTTTTACTACACATTCATTTTTACAAGTCTGCACTTGAACAATAAAAATAATCACAACTAAGGATGTAGACTAGATTCCTCATATTACTATTTGAACAATATCTAACAAAATAAGAGTTGGAAGAGACCTAGGTCTTCCAATCCAACCCCCTGCTCAAGCAGGAGACCCTACACCACTCCGGACAAATTATTGTCCAATCTCTTCTTGAAAACCTCCAGGGATAGAGTACCCACAACTTCCAGCTGTTCCCCTATTAATTGATCTCTGTTAGGAAACTTCTCCTTCATTCTATGTTGGATCTCTCTTTAATAAACTTGTCCTGCCTTCAAAGCTTTGGTGAATAGGTTTATCCCTCTTCTTTATGATAGCCCTTCAAGTATTGGAAGACTGCTATCATGTCACCCATAGTCCTTCTCTTTGCTAGACTAGACGTACAGTACTTAGTTCCTGCAACCATTCATCACAATTTAGCCCCTAGACGCCCCCCCCCCCAATCATCTTTGTTGCTCTTCTCTGCACCCCTTCTAGAATCTCAAAATATTTTTTGTATCATAGTGACCCCAACTGGACACAATATTTTAAGTGTGGCCTTATGAATGCAACATAAAGCGGTATTATCACTTTACATGACAATATCCCTCTATCGATGCAGCCTTCATTGGCTTTTTTGGCAGCTGCAGCACATTGCTGGCTCATACTCAAGAGATCGCCCACTAGGACACCTAGATCCCTCTCCCAGTTATTTCTATTGAACCACATATCACCTATTCTACACAGGTAATACTTGATTTACAACAGTTCATTTAGTGACTGCTCAAAGCTACAACAGCACTTCAAAAAGTGACTTATAACCTTTTTTTCATAATTGCAACCTTTGCAGCATCCCCATGGTCACCTGATCAAAATTCAGATGCTTGGCAACTGGTTCATACTTACGACAGTTGCTGTATCCTGAGGCCCTGTGATAATCTTTTATGTCTTTCTGACAAGCAATGTCAATGGGGAAGCCAGAGTTACTTAACAACCAGTTTACTAACTTAACAACTGCAATGATCCACTTAACAACTATGGTAAGGAATGTTGTAAAATGGGGCAAAAGTCACTTAACAAGTATCTCATTTAACAACAGAAATTTGGGGCTCAATTACGGTTGTAAGTTGAGGATTACTTTCTTGCCTGTTTATGTGCTCAGTAAATAACTTCTTTATTTACTGAGCACATAAACAGGCAAGACAGTCTTATTATAATGAATTAAGAGGCATATAAACACTTTTTAACAATAACCTGAATGTAGCATGCCATTTAATGTAAGAAGTTGCTAGTAACAGTTCAGTTGGTTAACTTATTTGAGCTGCTGTGAAAGGCAGCCTGTATTCACCATACTTAGAATTCCCCCATTGTTTCATGCCAAATAGGCTTCACAGGCTCAGACACTCTGAATCTGCTGCTTTACATGATGCTCACTTTGACACATAGGAAGAGACCCCATTCTAACACCCTCCAGGAAGAAGATAATTTGTATTTTTGAAAACTAAAGACATAATTCTAGGAGAAGAGAGTCAAATATGAAGCTATATGATATAGTGAATATGATATAGTGAAGAAAGATAATTTCTTTTCAACCCACGTTTAAACTTTAGAGCTTACTTCAGAACTTCCAAAAAGCAGAAGGGAAGTCTAGGTGGATTAAATGAGAAGGAAAGTCTGATTCAAGGGATATTACCTAAGAAGAAATAGACTACAAACAGCCAAATTTAATATTTGCTTTTTCTGTGTTCAATTTAAAAAAATGCTCCTCTCCTTAAAGTATTATATTTACTGTCAACTGGAACCCAATCCTCAAGGAATGTATGTTAATTCACCTCTTTAAGGCAAGTTTTCTCTTAACAGGATAGCACCATCTTGTGGTCTTCAGGAATTCTTGTGTTTACTCCATAGTCTCTTTTCTTGTTCCATTTATTTCCAGTTGTTCAGGATTGGAATAACTTTGTAATCTGTTTTTTCCCCAAAACCAATTACCTACATTTTAATATTTAAAGCTAAAAGAGGTTGTTCTACATTTACATGTTTTAAATACAATTTTATATTAATTTCCCAATAGGGAAAAGGGCTGATTATCTGTAATCGAAATTGCTATTGAAAGCACATACCCAATTGTTTAGCATTTTTACTAAAAAAAAAATTAGCTGATTTTCATTTGTGGCCACTTTATTATTTTTATTCATCTTAGTATGAGTGTTTCTTCTGATCTTGATCAAAAGATCAGTGAAATTTTAAAATTAATTTAGAGATGCATTATCGCAATTATAATGCCAGATATAGAAGATATTCGATGACAGCTAGAATGACCATGCCACTCCTACAGGACAAAAGATTGGGGCCAAGAGAACTTTTAGGGGAAAAGAGTGGAAGGCACACTTCCATCCCAAAAGGCTGTCATGCAACTAAAGCCATAAACCAGGATTTACAAAACATGGCTAGGTTCATGTAACACATTAAACCATACAAAGCTTAGTTTACTGTACCTCCGGATTTCTTACTTGAACTAGAATCCACTTGACTTTATTATTAATCTTATCTTTACTCACCTCAATCAAAAATAAATTTTGGTGGCTCACAAATAAACCTGTATGGTCATCTCTGGAGAAACAACTGATATTTCCCACTTTTGGGAACAAGAAAGAACTGTGGCCAATAAATACTGCTTTTCAGTAGCACTGCTGGCATTTTGGAACAGTGTTGCAATGAAAATTAAATTACACTAATAATAACAATGCTCCCCCTCTCTCTAATCTTTAAATATTATTCCCCCAATTTTAATGTTGAAGAGCTCCCGTTGCTTAACCTGGGAGTAAGATGTCACATTTATCACATATTCTGCATTTTTTGTATTACCTACTGATAGTTGACCAAACATTTAATTTTTACAACCTATTTTTAAAAAGTATTTGTAGTACTTCAGTACAGGATAAAGCACATAAAATTCTTTATAAATTTTCTTCTAAATTAAAACTTCAAAAAAATGGTTCCTGTCTCCCTCTACTGGAGAATACTGAAGCCCTTTATAAACCAACTCCGTATCAACTCTGAAAATGACTTTATCTTAGTTGCCATACATATGGGGGAAGGGGGAACTATGGGGTGTGGGATAATTTCCTCCCAAGTGCCAGACATAACAGTGATAAGGCCCATGGGAATCAAGGTCATCTCAACGAGAATTTGTAACGGCCAGAGGGAATAGCTGAGCAGCCTGCCATCTACCTGGTTGATTAATGTGACCAGTGACACTAGTGGGTGGGTGATATCTATTTCATTTATTATAACAAAATGTGGGAAATATTTAGAGTTGGTTTCATATTTGAATGTGCCAATATGATGTACCCAATAAAATAGATCTTTGAGAAAACCTCAGAGTCCTGAACTGATTGGACCCATTACTTGGAACCATGACACCAGGATATTAAGTTTAAAAGAGCAAAACTGATGAACCATGCTTATTTATTATTAATTAAAACCATTTTTCTTCATTGCATGCTATAAGTCTCAGGATTCCATGCATTTAATAAAAGATATGCTTATGATTTAAAAACAGTACCGGTCCGTGGCCTGTTAGCAACTGGGCCGTACAGCTAGAGGTGAGCGGCAGGCAAGCGAGCCAAATTGAAACCATCCTCCCCCCCCCCGCCCCGTTCACAGGAAAATTGTCTTCCAGGAACCCAGTCCCTGGTGCCAAAAAGGGCAACGGCCATCAATTTTTTTTAAAAAAAAAACTAAATTAAAATGCATTAAATTATATTCAATAATCTCCACTTTCAAATAGAGTATTTAGTCTGGCAGCAAACATTCTTAAAAGACCTCCACCTTAAACATTTTTTTTTTTACCTTTGAGGGTTCATCTTCCTTCTCTCCATTGGCTTTGGAAGTGCTGTTTGTGCATGAATCTGTGTCCAATATATCCAAAGGAGCTTCATTACCTTCTGATTCACTACATTGTTCATCATGCTCATAATCACTATCATTCTTCCATTCAATGAATTCAGGTTCTTCATGAAGGAACAGGAAAAAAACCCACCAAAAAATTAAGACATTTTTAAAACTACTAATATTCTTACACACCTTTATTATATTTTAGACATATCTAATTTTGTATATAGAACTTTAATTAATGACCACAACTTGATGGCAACTAAGACTAGTTGTTGTACTTCACAAAAGAAACTACTTTCTAAACGGGTAAAGCACTGCTATTTTCATGATTGTTATGCAGCTACTACTTACTATTACAGCTTAATAATCACATATTTCTCATTTAAACATGCTATGCTGGTTGAGCTTGCACAAAATACCAATATATATATATACAAAGCGCCTTAGAAGAAGTACATTATCTGGGCTTTTTCAGTCAGGATTTGGACCTGGAGAGCTTATTGAAGGTAGCATCCACCCTCTAATCCTACTCCATTTCTCAATAGCATTCTATATGATCAATCTTTACTGCTTTTATGAGTTGAGTATTGTAGTCACTGTTCTATAGTAGAGTGATTCAGTTCCTTCATTAGCTGACATTTTCAGTCAATGACTATAAAGGAGAAAGCCCAATAACCACTCACATGTAGAGAGTAGTGGAGTTCAGTCCTCTCCCCATTACATAACAATGACATAAAGGTACTGAGGAAGGTTATTTGTCAGTCCTAGATTTATGCTGATGATACCATTTTAAATTCATATCAATGGACAAACCAGTTATGTTATAGAAATTTGTTCCAGTGACTGAAGATTGTTAATATCTGAATTAGATGAAACTAACTGTTTATTAAGGATTTTGGCTGCCCTAATGTCATTTCTTGAGAAAAGCCACAGTATCTTTGACATGGTAGGTCCACAACTTAAGAGTTCTTCCTTATCACATAGCTACTGCTGGAAAGGTATGTGGAAGATGTGGCCAAGAGGACCATTGTCTAACTTATGCTAGCAGACCAGCTATGGCTTAACTGGAATGGGAAAACTTTGCTACAGTAACCCATGCTTCATCATCATGTACAGAGTACCATATGGAGTTGCCTTTAAAAGACATCCAGCTACCATTAGTGCAGAATGAAAAAACTCAGGTACTAGCTGAGAATGGCTACCAGCTTGTTCCAGATATGATTCAAGGTGCTGGCAGCTTTATGGTTTGGGACCAGGTTACTTATACTTATCAACCAATCTCTTTCCAGTTGTTTCTACCCATCCTACCCAATCTGTCAGATAGTGTATACTTGAGATCCTGTCAGTTAGTGGCGTCTTCCAGCACCTTTTCTGCCATGGGACCTGTTCTCTGAAACATCATTACTCCAATGTTCAGACTGGCCCTGAAAACCTGAGATCCTGAGTCTGGGGTATGTGTTAGAGCCCATCTCCTGGTTATTAATGGTTGTTTTACAAGTCCATCTGCTATGTTTTATTTTTTATATTGTTTTTAGTTTTTATCTATTTTATTGTAAGCTTCCCAGAGTCACATATCAGAATGAGTGATGGTATAAATTGATTAAATAAATATTAATCTAGATCCAGTTATGATGTCATTCCAGAAAACAATGATTTTGGGGGGGTAATTGGATGGTGTCTGGTCAATGTTTGACTATGAATGGTATGTTACTATTTAATTATTATAGGGTTGATATACTGAATGTTATCAATTTGAATAATGGTGTTATAGGTTTATGAAGAGTGTTTTACTATTACACTGTTTACTGTAGATGTTTTATCATTTTCTTTCTTCCATGAATGTTCACATTGTTGAAGTACACTATGGACATATTGTTATTCTTGTAAGCCTGCATTTATCTGAATGAGTCTGTTAAGCATATCAAATAAATAAAACTATGCTATTAATTTTTAATAGATAAACATACTAATTCCTCCAACTTTTCCCTGCTAAGATTTCATTTGATTCCAAGATTTAATAATAGAAGTAACAGCAACAACAGTAAGATTTGTGAAATGTACATAAATTGTCAACAAGCAAATAAATGTATAAATAAAATACTAGAAAATAGAAAGAATTCAGGACTGTGGTTCCAAGACCAGACTGTTTCGAAGAATTATGTGGCTATTAGTAGAGACCTCAAGAATAGCATTTTTGCAGGTCTAAAGAAAAAAAAAAAGGGGGGGGGTAGTATTCAATCTATGAAGACAAGAAAATACAAATATGGGAGATATGGCTTTTTGAAAATTAGGAATGAAAACTGATTTTTACATTGTGTACAGAAAATGTGTTACCTTCATTACACACTTCCTTGGCGATCAAAGCATACTTTCTATATTTCTTCATTTTCATATAAAGAAAATCTGAGGCTGTAATGTCATTTTCGTCATCTGAAAATTCACTCCATACAATGTCAGTAAATTCACAAAGGTTCTCAGTTTGAGAGATTTCTATTTAAAAAATTGAAAAAAATGTAGCACGTTACTAGTTTCTTCAGCTTGAATTAAAACATCAAAAATATTTGCTGAATGTATAACAGTAATCAGAATTTTGATTATAATTCTAAGCAGTATTTATACAATAGCTTGTTGCACTCTTTACAACAATCCTGTTTTATCTTCCAAAGATTATCTATTGGTTCAAGGGACAGATCTGAACCAAGATCTTTCTAAACAGATGTCACCCACTATGTTATCTCACCAACTAAAACTAAGCTTATCAGAAATTGAACTGATCTGCACACACAACTCATTCTGTTATTATTTAAGTAGAAACCAAAGACCCAAATATTGATATATTTTTTTAAAAAGTTTCTACTCTTCCTATACTAGCAAGAGGGAGTAAATCTCATTCTTACAAAACATTATTTTGTGCATTAAAAGTAGCATATCACATCTTATTCCTATATACTTAGATGTATGTAACTATTTTTCTGTCAATATACTCTGGTTAAACACATTAATTTCCCTCACTGCAATTAGACATGGTTAAACTTTATACTGTTCTAAAAAACCTCACATGTTTGGTGGAATATATCAAAATCAACAGTATCTTGCCATAAAATATCTTGCCATAAAGTGTAATTACGGTCATAGTATTGCATGTTATTTATTTCCTTAAGGTTATAGATGACTCTAAGTAGTGTATGTTCTAATTCTGTTAAAGATTAAATTGTGTAACATAATATTCTAAACCAACACCAAGTTCATGATCTATGAAAAAATATTTGAGTGTAATACAAAGAATATTTATATGAATAAAATGAAAGAACACAGTATTGTACCTTCACTTGAGCTAAGCAATGATGCAAAAGACTTTTTAGCTCTAACTGGTTTTCTTAAAGATTCTTTAGCCTGTTTGAAGAAGAGAGGAATACATATAATCTAGTATTGTGTAAAGTATACTTGTAATTTTTAAAAAAATCAAAAATATACTTTTAAAATACATAAAGCTATTTCATGTAGTATGCAGTTCCAAAGATACTTCCATTGCAAAACAATGACTTAATAGATACATTGTAAAACAGAAAAAAATCCTCTTTCTGAACTTGAGAGCCACAAAAAAAATCCAGCCTTTAATTGTTAAACTGCTAACCTTTAAAACTGTTAACTATGTTTTCCACTGAATACTAATAAACTTTACTTAGATTAATTTTATTCTGGTTTCTATCTACCCTGGCAGTAAATAAATGGATTACATGTATATCACATCCTTTAAACTGTTTTGTAAAATGTTCTGGAGAACATGGATCGGGAGGCCCTTCAGACAGTCACTCACGCCCTTGTGACCTCAAGACTGGATTATTGTAATGCGCTCT